TGGAATCATTCTTTTTGGAACACAAATTTGGTCAACTTATGTCGTATATAAAATTGCAATTAAAGCTCGTCAAAATTTCAAAGATCAAAAACATACCGATAACAAACCTGACGAAAAAAAATTAGAAGAAGGTTCGAATGCTACTTTGCAAAATGCTAAAAGTAATGATGCGCTTGCTATTAAAGTTACTGCAGCCTCTTAGTAAAATGAGTACACGCATTAGGGTGGTTTACATTTAGAGAATGCATTTTAATAATCTAGTTAAGCTTGACATGAGATTAGAGTATGCACTTATAGAAAAGCATTTAAAGTGGTTTCTCTGTATATACTTGATACTGTTATAGTATTAATATAAAAATTAACTTTTTCAAGTGCCCAAGATTTTCTTCTGTATTTCATCGTTCATTTCACGAAAAGAACCAAAAACATATATGTCCTTATAATAATGACACGAAATTTTAGCGATAGCAAATTATTTTTGTAAAGCTTGATTTTATTTGAAAAGAATATCGTGAATTCAATAACTATCGATTTTATTTATTATTATGCATTCAACTACTTATAAAATACTATTTATAAGCACTTATTGTTGAGTTTGTAGAATACCTCTATATAAACACGACTTTTTAAAAATTACGATGTGACGTGGCGTAATAGTACGCGAGGATACGTAAATGATATTGTTTTTTTAGTTTTGTAAGAGCTAATTTTTTGATCTGGTCAGTTTATAATCTAGACATAAAGAAAGTAAAATTTTAGAAAAAAACTTTTATTAGAATATAGAGAAGATATGAATAAATTTGAACATTCTACAACTATTACCATGTTTAACGTTAACATTAATAACTCTTAAAATGCTCACTAAAATATATGTACATGTATCATTTCCTTTCCTCTAACAACGAGCAGCGTTCTTCTTTCTTTTATTGTAACGTCGAAATATGTTTCGCACCACCGTTAAAGATTATATCGATATTGCATAATATATATGGTAATAGTAAATTTACGTTCATTTGGACATATAAACTAACACACACACTTTGTCAAACCTAAATGTTTGATATATTTAAAAATCAATCTGATGTCATTTTGATTGAATAAAAAATAAATATGCGTATCTGAAATTAATTTTGAAGTAGAAATTCGACTGGTGTAAATTGCATTCGGGTGGATTTTTTGTTTTTTTGTTTATATTCGTAAAAATGCTTCTTTGATATTTAATTTTATCAAATTGCTTTCTTTCTAATTTAACAACTCTTTAATTTTAATAAATAAAATTACAAAAATAAGTTATTCCTTCTCTTTGATCTTCAAAAATTATGCAAAAAATAATATCTTCAGAAAAATATAATATACAAGTTAAAAAGATTATAAAATATAAAATATAAATAATAATATATAAGAATAAATAAGAAAATAAAAAAATAATTAAAAAATATTAATTATTCAAATTAATAATATAAGTGTATATAAAATTATTTAATATATTTACTGTATATATAATAAATTAATTAAATATTTAATAATTATCTGAGTAATAAATATGAAATTGATCTTTTAAAAAATAATGCAAAATAATTTATATAATACTAAATATACAGGGGATGGAAAGAAATATTAGACGTTTCGCACATTTTTAAATTGATTTATATTATTGGATCTTGTGTTTTTTTGACAATTATTTTATAATAAATTATTTACATATAGTGATAATCTATAACCAAAACAAATCTCATCTTCATATAATACATCCAGGAGTTATAAAGCTACGTGCAATTTCCTTTCAAAAAATCACCCTTTAAATTTTACCACATGATGTACTATAAAAAAGAATTAACAGAAAGTCAGAGAGGTGGAATTATTATTGCAAAAAAACTTGGCCATACATATCCTGAGATCTTCAAGACTGTAAATTATTCTGTGATCCACATATTAGAAGCACATGAGCTTAAAAAATTATCTAAAAAACAATCAGATCATTCATGGAAGGGGGGAGGTTAAAGAAATATTAAAAGATTTTTTTTTAATTAATTTTATTTATTTATAGAAGATTCTGATATTTATTTACAGAATGATTCAGATATTTATATTATGATTCTAATACTTTGTATGATCTGGAAAAGAGTTTAATAGCAAGAATTTATGTTTTGAATTACTGAAGTCTTGAGATGATTGCATGCAGATTTGTTATAAATTGGTAGATGATCTGATCATTTTTTAGATAATTTTTTAAGCTTGTGTACTTCTAGCATACAAATTACAAAACAAACTATAGCCTTAGAAATCTTGATATATATGCAACCAAGTTGTTTTGCAATAATAATTTCATCTTTCTGACTTTCTATTAATTCTTTTTTATGACATATCATGTAGTAAAATTTAAAGGATAGTTTTTTAAGAGAAAATTATACATAGCTTTATAACACCTGGATACATCATATAAAGATAAGATTTATTTTGATTATAGAACATTACTATATGTAAATAATTTATTATAAAATAATTATCAAAAAAAAATACAAGATCTAATAATATATATCAATTTAAAATATATAAAATATCTAATATTTCTTTCCATCTCCTGTAGTTTGATATTTTATTATATCTGAATAGAAATAATTATTTTTTTATATAATTAAGAATATTCTAATTAAAATATTCTAAATATAATAAATATAAAAATTTATATAATTAATATTTTCTTAAGAAAAAGTAAAAATATTATTGATTTAAAAATTTAAGAATTAATTATATAATTAAAAATTTTAATTTTTTATTTATATATTTTTAAAAATAAGTTTTTAATTAAAAAAGTAAATAAAAAGTTAATTCAAATTTTAAATAACTTTTTATTTGCTTTTTAAATTAAAATTTTATTTTTAATAATATATAAATAAAAATAAAAGTCTTTTAATTTCATAATTAACTCTTAAGTTTTTAAAATTAATACTTTTTCAATTAAAAAAATATTAATTATATAAAGTTTTATAAATTTTTTTATATTTAAAATATTCTAATTATAATATTCTTAATTATATAAAAATATAATTATATAATAAATTTTGATAAGTATATTCTTTTTAGATTAGAACTTTATTTTATACTTTTTATATTATATTTATAAGTTTATATTACTTTTCTTAAAGATCAATTTTATTTTTGTTATATAAATAATTATTATATATTAAACTAATTAGATCAATTTATAATATTATATTAATAATTATTATATATTCTATAATTATTAATTTAAATAATTATTATTTTTTTAATATTTTTTTATATTTTTTTTATTTTTTTATTTATTCTTGATTATTATTATTTATTATAATTATTAAATTATTATTATTATTTATTATAATTATTAAATTAAGTATAATATTAAGATAATTAATTCTATTAATTATATAAAATTTATATATATTTTAAATTAATAATTTATTTATATTTTATATTTTTTTAATATTATTCTATTTTATATTTTAATATTAGACTTAATTACTATTTAAATAATAAATTTTAAGTTATTTATAGTAATGACCAAAAGTAATGACTCAGAGACTAAATTTACTAATAAAATATAGTAAAAATTAAAAGTTTCTCTCTATATTAAAATTTATAATTTTAATAAGAAATAATTTTTATTTTTATATTAAAATAAAGTTTATTAGTTA